TATATATATATATATATATATATATATATATATATATATATATATAAAAATTGGATATAATAATAATAAAAAAAAAAAGAAAGAGGATATAAAATAAAAAATAAAAAAGCATGTGTATAGAAAAGTTAACTGGTATAAGGGTGAAGGTTTTAGGTTTGTCAAAAGGTATGTCTCCAAGGTTCTCCAAATTTCGATCGGGTTGGGTTCTTCTTCCTTCGATAGAAATCGCCTTCACCGCGAATCCGATTACGACCATCATCATCGAACAGCAAAATCTTCTTCTCTTGATCCTTTTCCTCTTTCAACAACAACAACTTCTCCTCTTCCTCCTCTTCATCCTCTTCCTCTTCCTTTCTCGTCGTTGTCGTATCCTTTTTCCACCTCAGACGATTTTCTTGGCATCTACAGCGATCGCAACTTTTCGAATTTTCTAATACATTTGTACCATTACAATCCTTTCTTCTGTTTTCACGAATCACAATTCGAGAAATTTGTGAATCCTCGTTATTACGATTGCCAATTTTCATTTCCTTTATCATAGCACGATTTTTCCTTTTTTTCCTTTCCTCGTTTAAATCCAACGTTTCTCTCGATTTATATTTTTCCATGAGAATGGATATCGAATCTTTGTGATCAATAATTCTTACATTATCATCTTCCTCTTCTACGTCTCTGTCCTTTTTCTTACAAGTTCGTATCCTCTCGTGATGATCCTTCCACGAACAAACTCGACGATTATCAAAAATAGAAGGACACGTGCAACCGACCGGTACAAAATTAGAAATCCTTTCGCTTTGAGGGAATCCAGAAAATGGAAGGGTGGTTGAAGGAAGGGTTAGGGAGAAAAAGGGAAAGAAATGTGTTAGTATAGATCATCTTTCTTAATTAATAATACAACATAATAAATGTCACCAATTTTGGGTTCACCTTAATAAATATTAATCATTCATTTACCATTAAAATTGTTGCATAATAACATTTCGATCAATATTAATGTAATTGTATGGGTTTTGTTAAAATAATAAAACAAAAAGAAAATTAATAATAAATATAATAACACCCTGTTGAAAAATATTTCGTATATATCTATAAATATTATATATATATTATATATTATAATAATATAATTATATATATAATAGTAATATTTAATATTTAATTATTATATTATTTAATTTAATTATATATAATTAAAATTTCAATATAATACATTAATTAATATAATAATACCATTTATATAATAATACAATATATATATTAATTATTTGGTTTCTTTATATATATAAAACAAAAAAATCTATTTTGCTGACAAGAGTAGCATTTTGGTTAACCCCAATAAATATTAATCCTTCATTAACCATTAAAATAGTTGCATAAACAACATCTCAATCAATATCAATGTAATCTTATAAGTTTCCTAAAAATATTAAAACAAAAAAAATTAATAAACATAACAACCTGTTGAAAAATATATTGTACACACATATATAAAAAAGAAGAAAACCTTTTTTGCTGACAAGAGTGACATCGTCGTTGTCGACAGGAATGACGAGAAGGACAAGTAGGATAACGATGGCATAGACGAGGTCGATGGTCTTCGGGAGATCGTAAGAGATCGAGGTTAATGCCTCGTGGGGAACGAGGGTCACATGTGTGGAGCAAAGGTGAGATATCTTCTTCCTCTTCTCCTTCTCCTTCTTCTTCTTTCCTTGTCGACGACCTATCTAATTTCGAACACGATCGACGAATCTCCTGATCATTCTGGTTACTTCGTGAAAAATGGTCAAACGTTTCATCTTCAACGAGACGTTCTGAAACACGATGTGTTTGTCTTTAATTATTTTTTTGAAGTGAGAACTTCTTTAGAATGGGAGTGATCTGAAAAGTAAATAAACGGAAACGGAGCTATGTAACGAGGCTATGAAACGGCTACTATATTAAAAAATAAGAGACAAAAAGACAAACATATAGGATTGAGCCTGCGAGAGAATTAGACGGAATGTAGCTGTACAGTTCTTAATATTCTAGGTCTCCTCTTTATGCTATGCTTCGTAGTTATCGCTACTGGTTGTATTATTTAAATAGTTTATATCAAAGTATTATTTAATATAATTTTTATCAAATTTCAAAGTAAAGTTTCAACACAATAAAAATCACAAACTTTTGATTAATCCTACATATAATTCTGATTAAATAATAATATTTAATAACGAGTGTTAAAACTTACCATGATTGTTCATACAATTAACGTGACAATGTTTCTCATCCGATGCAACGTATAACAGATCAAGAGAATCTAATTTAGATGGATCAGATATATCCACAGATTTTTTATTAGATATTGAACAACAATTACACTTTTTTCTATTTAAATGTGTACTATTATTCTTCGTGTTTACATCAACGTCATGACTATATAAAAAAACAAATTCTAATGAGTTATTTACTTTTAATATTATTTATTTAATCAATCAAATGATTCTTACTTGTATCGATTTATCGATTTTCCTAATTGAATTTCTTCAACAAGAGGTTCTCGAGTTGATACTTTGTCTAAGACATCACCAACAGCACTCTGATCATTGGCCCATCTCGTAGATTCTTCTTCGGAAGATTTTTTGTTACGTCTAAAGCACGTACATTTGCTTTGTTTAATCGATAAACTTTGTTTAGCTGACAAATAACGTGGACCATCGTCACTGTACACGGACGGTGAACAAAAACACTGTGATTTATCGTTGTTGTTGCTCATGCATTTAGCGGACGATGAACTACTAGCTGGCAGATCGTTATTGTTTTTTCTTCTACTCGATTCTACTTCGGTCTAGGATTTAAACAAAATAAAGAATAATATTTTTTCTTCACATCTATATATATATATATATATACGATTATTTGTTAAATTACTTTGGTGTTATCTTCTTTAGATCTAACGCCATAATCTTTAGGAAATTTTTTACGAGCACGACGAAAGGCAATAGACGCTGCGACAAGTTGATGAGAAACAGATGGACAACCTTGTGACATCTTGACAAAATAATTCCAATAGGTTCGATCATTATCTTCAAAATATTACAGATTTTATTTGGTTATATACATATATATATTTGGTCAAACCCCCCACCCCTACCCTAAAAGAATTAATTTCTTTTCTTTCCTGTCATCATCATCATCGTTATATGTTCTAATCGATTATCAAAATCGAAAATAAATTCACATACATCCAAAGTGATGTCTAACTTTATTGATCGTGATTGGAAAAGCAACAAACGTTAGTGAATTGTTTCACAGTTTCATAATTTTCTCTGATGGTAGAAGTTCAATCGAGATACAGAGAATTGAGGAAATTCGCATAAAGCTCGTGGACGTAAGCCAAGCTGGAGTTTGGTCGTCGTCGTTTCCTGTTCACAGGGGCTCGAATGTTCAGGGGCAGGTCATAACACTAATCAGGGCAACGAGCAATTAGAAGCGAAAACACAGAGGCTTTAACGATGTTTGCTTGATAACAGTTTACAACGTAGCGAAGGAACGGTTACTGATCAACACACGTCGATGTGTTTCATAATTTTCTTCAATGTAACGTTTGATTGAATGTGATATCTCTGTATACTTTAGTTTATGATAAATGTATTTATTATTGAACACAACTATCCCCAATCAAGTTTCTTTAATTATTTATTATTTATTTGTGCATTCATAAAAAAGTACACACTTCATAATATCATCGTCGTCTAACGAACAAATGAAAAAATAAAACAAACAAACATAAATTTAAACGAATCTGATCTCAATTGCGACAAAAAGAAAAAATAATAATGGAATATAACATTTATATATTCGCTAATTAAAAAGCGAACAATCGTTATTTAAATAATTTATAATAAAAATTTATCATTTACAACATTAGATGTCGTTTGTTCTTTTTTTTATCTTTTTTTAACTTTAAGACGATACAAAGAAAAATAATAATTTTAACATCATTTTCCTTTTTTTGTTGTTGTTTCATATATACTTATAATTAATAATAAATTTATCATTCGTTCCTTATAACTTACATAACTTAGATAGAGGTTCTGAAATATTTACAAATTTTTACAGAACAATATATTGTAACTATGTACTTCCTTTTTTACAATATAATTCAATAACTATATATATATGTATAACTATATATAACTTATCAAGGAACAAATCAATATCAAATAGAATTAATTTAACGATCCCTAATTAATTGGATCTTTCATGAAAGATCTTTTATATTAATGTTATCAATATATGGATATAGAAGAAAAATTATTTTCAATAATTTTAATTCATCCATGGTGGACAGGGTGTAGGTGGTTGATATGCTTGAGATATTGGCACTTGATAATGCGGCGGCATCATTTGCGCCGGATGTTGAGGCCGTTGTTGTTGATGGGGTGGTGGTGGTGGAGGTGGATTGCAAATAGATTGCATCAATGGATGCGAATTGTAAGGTGCTGGTTTTGCAGCATGCGGTGGTATTTGATTGTACTCGATGTTCAATGGATGATCCATCACCGTATTTTGAATAGGAGAACGATTACCTTCCAAATAACCTATTTTCATAATAAAACTATTATTAGTATGATATAAATTGATAAAGAGTTAATTAATGATCTACCTCTTGGTCTTATCTGTGGTGGTGGCATATTCGTAGGTGGTAAATTAGGTGGACACAACGTGTGATGTTCCTCTCTTGGCATTGGCGGAGGTCTACCCCAAGGAGCTCTGATATGATGAGATTGCCAAGGTGCTTGTGGAGGTGGTAATGGTGGTAAAGGTGGTCCTCCTCCAGTAGCTGGATTCATACCTCCAGATTCAGCGAGTAATACTGACTCGTTACCTAATTAAATGGAAGTGAATTATTTTGAGTAATACGTTAAATAAATCAAAATAAATTCTCCTCTAAAACCGTACCTGGATTTAATCCCGTATGTTTGGGATCCATGTTACGCTTTTCACCTGAATAATACAAATTATTGTTATAACTATAACGATATCGATGAAACACTATCAAAACATTATTTTGCATTAAATTGGCTTTTCGATTATGATACTGCAATTAGTAATTACAAGTTAAAATCAATTTCTTTCGCATATTATTTTTGCGAAAAACGATGATGATTATTTTTGCCTTGTTATGTGTTCTGCTTTTACGTGATGATAAATACATCCAGCGATAAATAAAACACACGGCTTTTTGTTAAAAGCTAAAGATATAATCGTTAAATTAATGATATTACATCTGCCGTTTTGCAGGATCGTTCACCAGGCTGCTCCTCGCTGTACCAATAAAATATAATTATTATTATTACTAATTACCGGATAGATATTTATAAAGCTAACAAATAAATATTTCTTTAATATAATATACTATTTTATAACGAATATTAATTTATTTGCTCTTTTCTTCTTATAATTTGTACATTCCATCTATCAGAGACCAGTTTAGTTAATCAACATTTCTTACTGCAATATATAAACTTAAAATTATTAGAAATGAATTATCATCGTTGATATAATCTCGCTGGTAGAATGTTTCTGAAAATTTGATATAATTTATATTATATATTAACACAAAATAAATTATAGGCTAATTTCTTTTCAGAAGAATCTCCATGGATCGTAGAATCCTAAAATTTATGTGGAAAATATTTAAAAATTTCAATGTGATCGTTATATTTAACATTCTCTATACATATATTTAATAAATGATCGGATCCATAATATTTTGGATATTCGTATAGTTTCTGAAATCAAAATTTATCTTATTAAATAATGTTCGAATAAGCGTACAAATATGAATGAGTAATTAATAAGAAACATTACCAAAAAAGAAAAAAAAAATAGCGGCAAAATTAAAATGCCTGAATCAACTACTGTAGCCATATATGCAAAGTTTCGTAAAATTCAAATAATAAGAAACAAATTTGAAGCAGCTAATGTAATAGCATTGTGTCACAAATCCTTTTTATCAATCTCTCGTGTCCATCTGCAAAGTTTAAACTTAGGCAAATGTAAAAGAAGCGATTTACCAAAAAATACAAATTAAAAAACACATATAACATCATTTTTTGTTTTATTATATATGTATATATGTGTGTAACCCATTTTTATAAAAATATATTTACATTAAATAAATTTACAGTCTAAGAGTATTGAAAAAAAAAAATGCTAGATACTTTATTTTCAATGATTAAAAAAAAAAACACACACACACACATATTAAGAATAAATATAGAAAGGAACGACTTTACATTCGTCAAAAATTATACTTCATTAAAATACTTTGTAAACATTTATCTGTCATAAAGAATAATCAATTTACATGTAAAGTCTTTCCTCCTGCAATGAATATATCAGTTTATTCTATTTAGTAAAAATATCTAGCATTTTTTCACATAAAATACTCTTAGTTACAGACCTGGATGTGGAGGTGGCATTAGCAGCTTGTTTCGATCTCCATGGGGTAGACCGGCACCTGCTGGCGATGGACCATGTAAGACTTGCTGTTGACGTTCACCTTCTCTGCTTAAACAATTCAGTTGAACTCATTAATTTTGTAAGTTGTTAACAGCACACAAGCATTTCATATATTAATGTAAAAGTCACCTGATGCACACCCATGGCTATTTCTGAAATATTAAGAACAAGCCTGAATTCACCAGATGATTATTAATAATATCAAAATTTATTTCATTACGGTATGTCAATTATTTTAATTCTACAAAATAAAACTTCATTTTATGATGCATACGTTTGGCTTGCTTGCTTGCTTGCTTGCTATTGATGATGAAGTAACTTATAATTAACAATTAAAGCAAAAAACTCTTTTTAAATATAAAAAAAAAAACCTCCATTGTGCAAACTGCTTAATTTAAATAATAATTAAGCTTGTTTATATGTATATATATAAATATTAATCAATTTTACTTTTCAAATCTTACGCATAATTGAATTATCCCATGATATGAACAAATCTATGTAAATATATTTTTTGTACAAAATTAAAAAAATATAATTATCTATTATACAAAACTCTATATATTCATACATTAATTTGAACATATAATAATAATAATAATAATAAAAATAATAATAATAATAATAATAATAATTATAATAATAATAGTAACAAAAATAATAATATAGAATTAAACATTGGCTCATAATTATTATTCATTGAAATTTGTTCGTATGAATATATCAAGTTTTTTTTTTTTTTTTTTCATAAAAAGATTTGTGATTAAATAATTATTATATCTATAATACAATACTTAACAAATAATCAATGTAACATCATGCTTTATAATTATAAAAATCGTGAATCGACAAACATGAAAATTTACAATTGTCAGTTCCATCAAGAATAAATTAATTATTACATAGATCTGTTTGGTTTCATAAGAAATCCATATATATATAGTCATCAAAGTTTACACGGTCTTTGGTAAAGGCGGGGTTCTGTAAACAAAAATTTGTTCAAACAAGAATATAATTTTTTCAATTTAAATATTACCTTTGTGTTAATTTTCTGCTACATTTTTATACACACTATTAACTAATTGAAACATAAATTTACATAAAAAGTAAAAATTGCTTTACCAATGCCGATATATTGTAAATTATTAAATAATGTTGTAAAAGAAAAAAGAATGCTTTGCAAGAAAGCAAAGTATTATATTGTATTTAAAGTTAACAATTTCTATGATAAAAATACAACTATATAATATATTTTCTTGTAATATATTACTAATATTCTCAAAGAATACTTGACTTATTCTAAAATCCGCTTTACATAAAGGTAACTTGATTTGTATACCTAGTGATTGTCCTACTAACAACACTCAAGTTATCGCAAATGATTGGTATGAATTTATAAAGATAAACAAACGAAAATAATATATGCACATGCTTACCCTGTGCCATGACGTTGAGCAGGTAAAGGGCCACATTGATATGGTGGTGGTTCCTGTTCGTAAACATTAGTTTTATTTGAATAGTTTATATTATTTAACATCCATATATTTGAATTACTAATAATTGTAAATATACCTGATTTCCTTCAATATCAGAAAACCTTCTCTTCACTCCATGAGGTTTCTGTTGTTCAGGGGAATCTGGCTTTTGTTCAAATGGTTGATGTTGAGGTGTTTGTACTGTATAATGTACTTGCGCCGGTATATGCCCATTTTGATATTGCATATGGGGAGTATGATATTGTATTTGGGCTTGTATTTGTGGCGGTGGTGCATTATGAAGTGGCATATTTCCAGGTGGCATTTGTACCTAGGGAAGAATAGTTAGTACATAAATGTCGTAAAATATACACTACTTCATTTACATACATTTATATATTTTGATTTTAGTTATTTATTCATAGAATTACCTGTAGCTGACCCTGGGAGTGAGGTATTTGCTGCGGTTGCTGCGTTTGATAGAGCCATGGAGCATTTTGTGGAGGAGGAGGAGGTGCCTGCGTTGGCGGAGGAACACTAGTAAGAACATTCATTGAATTTTGCATTTGTGCCACTGATGGAGGAGGTACTATTTGCGGAGGAGGTACCGGCTGTGGTAGTGGACCTTGTTCATCTTGTTGATGCTGAATTTCACCTCCTTGTGGTAATGGAGGTTGCTGATGATGTTGAGGAGATTGAGCATTAGGAACCAAAAAGGTTTGAGTAGATGGTGGTGGAACTTGTAAATGAAATTGTGGAGGATGACCCTCGAATTGAGGTGGGATCATATGTTGTGCTACTGCTTGAGGTTGTTCATGATTTTGTTGTATTTGTGGTGGCACAATATGTTCACCAGGTTGTAGAACGAACTGTGCTTGTGATTGTGACACAGGCGCCTGTACCTGCTGATATTGTATTTGATAAGTCTGAGGCACGGGAGGTGGTGGTTGATTTGGAGGAAAGTTAGGTGGAGGAAAGTGAAGATGTAATAATGGAGGTGGAGGTTGTTGAGATATATTGAGAGGAGCTGTTGGTGGTGGTTGTTGCAAGTTAACATTGACAGTCTCAATCATCCCTTGCGAAGGTGTTGCAGGCCTTTGTACACTTGGTTGGGTATAAACATATGACACTGCCCCACTAACTGGCACACTAGCAGTTGAAATGTAATTTTGTTGAGCTGGACTTGGTGGTGGTGGTTGACTCATAACATACATTTGAGTAACAGGCTGCGGTGATGCTTGTGATCCTGGTTGAATACCTTGAATTTGTAGCGGTTGACCAGGATGAATCTGATATTGCACTTGACTTACACTTGATGGAGGCCCAATTAATTGTACTTGTCCAACAGGTGGTGGCGGCATAAAAGTCTGTATTTCCTTAAAATAAAAAGACAAAGCCTTAACAAAACCCTGTTGATAGGAGAAACAATATATATTCAGTCAATAATATTAATAACGCCATCTATTAGTAAAAAAAATGTATTGAACCCTTAAATAAGGGGCAATACTTTCTACGCGACTTCAGTTACCTTTTAAACCAGCAAAGGTTATCAACAAATAATGAATGTTTCTTTGATCGATATCATTATCTCAATTAATTTCTACCTGACTTTGGGAAGGAGGTACCAATGGTCCTGAATGAGGTGGAATATGTACTCCTGGTGGAGGAACTGTTACTCCAGGACCTGGTGCTCCAGCTACCGTTGCTGTTAAAATAGTTGCTGGTAGAGTTACCACATTACTTTGAGGGTGCTGTATTATATCTGTAAAAAATATCATTTCATATAGGTTTTTGTTACATATGTATAAAAAATGATAATACGATATTAATCTATGATTACAAATTGTACCTTGATGTTGTATTGTAACAACATTAGGTTGCCCTAAAGTACCAATGTTCATAGTTTGAAACTGTGCTGTAAGATAATACAATTTAATAGTAAATTGAATATTATATAATAATATAAATACAAAAAATAGAGAAAACTGTACATTGCTGTATTTGTGGTTGTTCTATAACTTGTTGAGATTGCACTGGTGGTGGTTGTTGCTGTATATAACTTTGCAGCTCAGATTGCATTGTTTGTATTAAATTAATTGCCAATTGTTTTGCATTTTGTAATGCTTCTGGTTTTTGATGTCTACAAAATAAAAATTATGATTAATTGAATTAATAATAATATGGATAAAATAATAATATCTTACTCTATGTGTAAATGAAGTGGTTCAGGAGATTCAGATCCTGATACAGGATCAATAAATTGTGAGCTTCTACCCCTTAAAGATACATTTGCACCGGTCTCTCCTCTTATATATAACAAATTAGCTCCACCAGGGCCTATAATTCTTCCTCGTAAATCAAATCCTTGTGGTGCATTTTCTATACCGATGCATATTTTTTCCTATAGACAAAAATTTATATAAATATATATTTCACATCGTCAAATAAAAAATATTCTATACCATTTTAAATGATACTACAATGAAAATAAATCTTACTACTGATGTAATTCCAGAATGTAAACTCATAAGTGGTGGAGGTGCATTGGTAAATCGGCTTGGTCTATTTAGTGAACTTTGATGTTCTTTCTTAATAATTTCATTAATTTTTTGTATTGCCACTGTTAAATCAATGATATTATTTTTAAAACATTTCTATTGAAAATGAATTAATAAAAAATTATTCATTACATACTGTCAACACTAAGTTTAGACTGTCCTTGTATAAACAAGTATAAAGGCCGTTCATTAGGACATCGTAATTTTTCCTGTTCAGTCATAAAACGTCCACGCGTTGATACTGTAGCACCTAAATAAAATAAATACACAATATCAAAATTATTTAACACAAATATAAATATTTCATAAAGAAATCTTTAACAATTTTTTCTTAATCTTACCAGAAAAAAAATTAATTTCATCTTGTGTATGACCTCTAGTGAGTAGAGTTCTAGCACTAGGAGGTATCTCATTGATTTCAAACTCTGAAGTATATGTCTCCCCACTTTTGAAGGTTATCTAATTAACAGTAATATTGTGTTAATAATACAAAATAAATGATAATGAATCAAAAAATGTTCGTAACATGCATATACATTACCTTATTGCCTGATTCAGAAGTTCTAATCTTGTCCTTAGCCATGGAGATTAAATGTGCACTACCCTGTATTTATGTAAACTATGAATATTATTTAAACATCATATTTATTTTATTTTACATTATAAAATCGAACTTTTAATAATAACAATCAATGAATTTAATTTCTCTTCGTTGCACTTGCAGATTGTGTATGCGTGTATATGATGTGTATGTGTGTGTATGTGTGTGCATATAGATATGATGTGGATAAGTTAGAGGTTAAATTCGTAGATATGTAATTTTTTTTAAAATATCTCAATTAAAATTCATGATTATTAWTATTTACCTAAATATTTCAAAATCCTTTCGTAACATAATAATCTTGATATATTATTCATCGAAATATTTGTACAATTATTTATAATTATAAAATGCAGCTTGTTAGCATCGACTTGCGATACTATTTGTCGTCACTTACTGGACAAAATGCAGCAATGAAGCCACAATGGGGCAGCAGTTGACGTTACTGACGTTATATTATATATCAATGATAAATCACGTGACAACACATATATCAATATATTAAATATATTTTAAAATAATTCAAAGGATTCGATAATCAATTGATTATTACTTTTTATATAAATTACATTAGGGGTCTCTAGGATAACATTTTACCATCATTATTGTTTTATCATGTTATTGATAAATATTTTCATTTTCAAAAGTGCACATTCAATATTTTTTTTATAATTATTTTAATTTCCTTTACAAATACTATACGTTACATATTTTACTGTAATATTTAAATTAATCTACGTTAATATTAGTTTTGTAATTGTCTTATTAGAATAATCTTTTAAAAATTTGTCTTTTTTTTTTTGTTTAGAATTGTTTAACAAAAATACATATTCTAAGAGAAATATAAATAATAAAATATGAATTCAATGAGAGAAAACTTGAAGTCATTGAACAAATACTTTATTTCAGTACTTAACATTATATGTGCATTTTTGTTGTTCTATAAATACAATTGAATTTTAATTACAAATTGTTGTTCACGCAATTACAATGCTAATGAAAAATAATATCGCTAGGATGAGTTTAATATTTCTTGTGCAGATATTGTTATATTGTTGACTTGGTTGCATCATTGTCAATTGATATTGAAGCAAAGCTCAAAATTCATATTGTTGATTCATCTAATAATGGAAGAAGTTCATAAATTCTGTAATATTTTCCATCAAATCCAGTGGCAGCTAAATAATAAGATTAGAAAGGATTATATTATTTTAACTTCGTTATTTGTTTTTCTTTTTTCTAATAAGAATGTGTGTAGATACTTTAGAACAATCTTTTACTAAAAAATGTAATAATGTTAGAAGCAATATCATAATCAGAGAAACAATTGTTTAAAAAGAATAATAAAACATTATTTCATATTATTAATCCTCAAGGAGGAATATTTGAACATGACTGTAGTTCTTAACCAATGTTTTATTATTCTCTTCAACAATTGTTCTTCTTCATTTAACTTTTTTTTTTTTTTTAATATTAGATTGTGAAATACATCTATATAGAGAATACTGCATACTTTCCAAAATCGATATGAGATTCCTCTTAAAACTAATTTTTACTAAAAAATATTTCAGAAGCATTAGGCTCTGTTATTTTTGCTTTGCATTGAGATACATTGCATATGTTGTTTTATTTGCTATGTTTAATCAACATTAATATTTATTGAGAAAACAAAAATCATTGTTTTTCATTGCTATTTCGTTTAAATAACAAAACTTCTCTCTCTCTCTCTCTCTTTCTTTTTCTCTCTCTCTTTTTCTTTTTCTCTCTCTCTTTTTCTTTTCAAATATTTAATTATCTTCTTGTTTCAAGTATACACTAATCAAAGGGATAGAAAAATAGACAGATTGTCTTCAGTTGTAAGAATTGATATCGATTGCAGAATGAATTTTGATAATGAAAAGATAAAATATTTACTTCACATTTGAATGTGTATCAGTGGCACAGATCAGTCTCTTTTTGTAATAAGGCCCTCTTAAGATTCACAATTTTCCATTCCCAGTGCTCAGTACGATACAGAAGGATCTAAGCACCATTTGACAAACATAATAAAGCTTAAGCAAAAGCTGCATCATCCCTTAATATAAATCGAAGACACGGTTTATAACAAAATTGAAAATTGCTTAATCCTTTGGCATGCTCGTGGACTATTCATGCTGACTACATCACTCTATTTGACATCCTTAAAATATGAACAGAATCCAAACAAAATATAATAATCTATCTTTATACAATTTAATTTATAAATAATTTATCGATTAAAGAGCGATGAATAAGGTAACGGGAGGAATGTTATATTTGTGTCCACTGTATTTTCTTAAGTGTAAAAGATAAGCTCAGGAATTTGTCCTTCTTCGACGGATGTTCCATTATTATCACCAGCTTCGATATTAAAATCAAATTTGACTCTACCATTTCCAGAATCGCAATCAACCAATACCGTTTTTACACCTTTCGTTCCATAATGAGAATAGGGACCCTAATAAACAAAGTTTAATATTGAATACAACAAAATAATGATTAAATATTATAATAATTGTATATCATAATATGTATATATATATATATCCACCTTAAATGTTGCAGATGCTGTATAAATAGTGTTTGGTAAAATTTCAGCTAAATCTTTAAACATTAAACGATAAGTATACTTTGAACCATCACAACTGAATGTCGTTGAATTCGATGCTATTACTTTTCCAGATGCTGTATGTATTAGCTCAACTAATACTTCGTATATCGCAGATCCATGCATACTACCATAAACTCCATAACCAATAAGGAATATTCGTCTATCCACACTAAATCTGTTGAGAATATTTTTGTTGTTACAAAATGTGTTCACTTAATGTTATTTATAATGCATATAAGTATATACCGAATACGATCACTCGTTCCATTGTAACCCCATTTACTTTTGGTATGCTGAAATCTACACACAGTTTGTTCTTTTCCAGTCATACAACAACGTGGCATAGTTTGAAAACTTACTGTTGGTTTTGGGTTCAGTATGAAATAGCAAAACAAAGATAAAACCTAGAAATAGAATGCATTCAACATAATATATTCTTAATCAATGCTTATTATTAATATATATATATATATATATTGTTGATTGTATATCAAGCAGTGGTAATACTAGCCTCAGAATGATTTAATAATCCAGATTGTGCAGGACCAGCAGTAAATTCCTCTTTGGACATAAGAGGAAAACGAACTAGAGAAAGAGCATTGCCTAAAACCAAACGTTGATTCTTTGGAATAACTGGCAATTGCTGCCTTATACATTCCGCCTCTGACCATCTGTTCGAAATATGTAATAAATGACAATATGCTATCGCTCATAGTTCGTTATACAAGGCTGGTCAGATATCGCATACCTTAACACAGCCTGAAATATTTTAGATTCCCTGACTCGAAGCGTATCTCTTTCCAAAACAACCATCAACGTATCGATGTCAATATCCACAAATCCATCGGCATTTAGGGCCTCTGTGGTAAATCTATCGATAGTATCCAAACAGACTGCTGCTAATTGAGGCTCATCGAACAAACGAGCTTGCGTTAAAAGTAAAAAAGCATTGTCGCTGGTTAAATTATTCTTCAAAAAATCGACACAGTGCTTTTCTAAAGCAGAAACGGCATACTTCTTAGCAGTATACAACGTTGTCATCACAGTTTCAGGATCTATTTGTATCTCATCTGTATATAAAAAAAGAAGAACTGCCAAAAAAGCAGCTGGTTCTACATCAGGTACTTCTATTTCCGAAGAAGCTGTAGCAAGCGTTCCATTAAACATTGCATAAAATACGGCACTTCCAGAAGACAGGACTAGTTTGTGAGCTGGTATACGTTGTTGTTGAGCTCCCCGTCCTACCAAGAAGCTCACATCTGATAATATCTCATTGTTAAAAAGGAAAACTATCCTTTCTCGCATAGTAGCTTTTGTACCTTGCCAATTGTACGTAGTTACAGCTGATCCATGACTATTTTCAAGTGCTACATTATTCTGAGGATGACCATCGATGTGAATTGTATTAGCTGCATTAGTTGGAGGCCTGCTGTGATTAATCAAAACAAATCCCAAATTTAAATTACACATAATCAAATTGATATGACACTGACAATTGATAAAACATCAAGATAATTTTAATCATAGATGAAAATACTTACTTATCACCGTTCGACGATGAAACGTCAAGGCCTCGCGAGGTAGAAGAAGTGGTAGGCTGTTCTTCGTCCCAGACAAAGTTGAGTGCACGCCGAGCACGAGATAAAGTACCAATTGATTGTGCATTTTGTGCCGAATTTGCGGACTCATCTGCCACCGCATTATTTCCATTATGAACTTCCTCACCGCCGTCTTCGTTACCTAACCGTAAATTGTGTATCCTCGAGACGACATTAGACACGTCGCCCAACGACGTTTCCGTTGACATTTTCACGCAGGAAACGTAATATTTCTCGATATATTGCCCCGTTTCATTTATTCAATCGTGTATCGTGTATCACAACAAAACAATATATTGACGTGAGGCGCCGTGCCTCTCAACAGTGTTCCATATTTTCTTTTACGTTCCTGTTTTTCTTTTTTACTCTCTCTTTCTTTCTATTTTTTTTTATCTCTTTCTCTCTCTCTCTCTTTCCCCTTTCCGCCGTCTCTTCAACGTTTTTTTCCTTATCGTTCTTTTTCTTATACTTTTCTTATCTTTTTATGTTTTTTTTTATTTCTTTTTTTTTTTTTAAAGACTGTACGAACGATCGTTAAACTTACAAAATCGTGTTTTCAACGATGACGATAATCAGCGGTTAAAGAAAACGAATGAGTTTCATATATGTTATATGACATCGTGTGTAAACGCCCTAATCCATTTTGCCATACATTTCGTTAAATACATACTCATGCGATTAATATCTCCAATTTGTAATAGTAAACGTAATTAAATACACCATTGAATGAAACTGTTAGTTTTCTTTTTTACAGAAATCATAGAAGAACTCGTTTATTTATCTTTAATGTCGGATGATTGTAATTATTTTGTTTACGTTGTGAACGACGTTTAAAGCGATGACAGCGACACCACGTATGTTTCTACGAATCATACGAGTTTTGTTATTTCGGTCGGTAATACATAGATATATTTCATAAATTATAATTATTATTTAATTTATAATTGTATTTAATTTGTAGTAATAAAAAAGTATTAATTTAACTTTAATTTCGGATTTTTTTTTTTAATGCGAAAAGTAATAAATGTTTAAATGTAACGAAGATTATTTTATGTTATCGACACTGTTAGTTCTCAATTTATATCATAGATGGCTCTTTGAGTACATTGTCGTTAGTTGTCAAAAGAACGAGACACAGTTGGAGTTTGTTGAATATTATAATTGAATTATAATAAAAATTACGCATAAAAGTGAAAATAGGAAAAAAGAAGGAATAAGATTATTAATTTAACTATTATTATAAATACAAAGGTAATTATGTGAAGCTTATTAAAATGATTTTATTTGTTAAATAAGATTTTACTTTTTTCAAACATAATTATACTTGTTGAATATGTTTATTTGCAATTATGCATTGTTAATAAACGTTGAAAATATTATAATGATTTATTTCAATTGTTCTTTTTGATATTAATAATCATTTTTTTTTTTTTTAGATACATGTACAATGATAATAATTATAAATAATTATTCGATATATTTATGAAAAAGAAAAATATCAAAATGGCTGCTGTGATGCGCGCGAACAAATGGTTTCCGGAAAAAATTGATTTTGTTTTTTTTTTACACAATACGAAAGAAAGTTTTACTTTTAATTGTTAAATAAAAAACATGCACAGGTTGTGTTGTTCGTACATATCCATACATAAAAAGAGTTGGCGTCAGAAAAATCATGTTTTATAACAACTGTGTATTATTTAATGACGTTTATGTACAATGTTTACACGGCGATACAGAAAATCTTCTGCAAGCCCTTAAGGGTTTTTTTTTTTTTTTTTTTGATGTATCATACATGAAATATTATCAAGTCGAAGAAGCCAGTTTGTTAAAATCTATTAATACGACAAATTATGATAATGTTTGAACGGTACGAATACTTAAGGATTTGCGTTAATTAAAAAAATACTATAGGTAAAAGAGAAATGTATCGATCGTTTATCATGATGTATTTTTTACTTATACACGCATACATAATAATTACACGTTCATTCCATTTTTTTACAAATGATCGTGTTAAGAAAAAAAAAAAAGAAGTAAAACATTTATTTAATTTTTAAATGACAATTAGGAGAAAAGAAGAAAGAAAAAAAAAATGTTATAAATCGAATGTTAACAAATATTGAGAGGTTACACAATTATAGATCTTAATTTTTATACACATACAACAATATTTAAAAAATACATTTTCATATACGTATACTTAAAAACGATACGATATATTTCTTTAGAAATTGACGATTATAATTATTATATTACCTAAGCTCGAGAAAGAAAGAAAGAAAGAAAAAAAAAAGAAAAAAAAATAAAGAAAAAAAAAAACAATACTTTAGTTCACATAATATTATTATAACGAAAGTAACTTTTGATTTAATGTCCTTAAATTAATCAGATTTGTTAATAGTTGTCATGGTCATTGCAAAGTTAATCAACTTTGCTTCCTATACCATTTCATTTCTCTAAACAACACCTTTTATCTAAATTAAATATTAGAATTGTAAAGAATTAAATAAGTGTGAGTGTGTGGTTTTAGAGAAACTAACGTTTTGTGGCTCTTCTCGAATTATTGAATGAAACCAAAAAAAGAAAAAATAAAAAAAAAATAAAAGAAATTTAAAATGAGAAGTTGCCCAGATCTATGTGAAACACAAATTAGCTTAGCATTTTAACAACTAATCGTATTTCTTTTTCTTATGATTAATTTTGTTTTAAAAACTAAATTACAATTTTATAATATGCACATAGAAAATATACATAATATAAATTTGTCGTTCAAGTAAAATAACAAAAAAAAAAAAAAAAAAAAAAAAAAAAAAAAAAAAAAAGAAAAAAAATAAAAGAAATAGAATAATCGTTCTCTTATGATTAAAAATATTTAAATTAAGTAGACGATGTATCGAGTTTAAGGAAGAAACGTATCTCGATAATTAACGCATTCGATTATCATTACGTTGTCATTCACTTTTCGTTTATGATTGTAGAAAAGAGATACGTGTCGAGTTCCTTCTCGATATATTTTAATGTAAATTACTATAATATATCAATAAATATGCAATGGTTAAAGCGAATACGAAATTATTAAACGTACAATACGATGTTATACCCATATATAGATATAAAAGGAAATAACATCGAAAATATGGCGTTATACTCGTGTTAAAATGTCTTTTTGTTTTTGTTTTTTGTTTTTTTTTTTTTGTTTAATTCTGCGATCAGCGAACCGATCACTGGTAACCTTTTTCATTATTTCATTTTGCAGTTCGACCAAACACGAGTTCGAGTCTCACGTCTCAAAGTCAGAGTCTTGATCTCTTTGCTGTCTTAGTTTACTCTTCGCTTTTCTCGCCTTTGTCGCCATGGTTTTCTTCTTTCTGGGCTTTGGCATGATCTCGCAGCTGCAGCCGCTCCTTACCCTGATGTAATCCAACGTCCAGGTTGACCCGCTAACAGGAAACGTTGGAAATTTGTGTTCCTTGTGACGCTTCTTGGTTTGTTCTTCGGAGCCTTCCTAAATATCAAATTCAAACCATTATGATTATATAAACACGTACATGTATATATGTAATTTTTAATAATTTAATTGTAATGTGTTTGGTGTAATGATAAATGATAACGTTAATATATAGTTTATTTGATGCTCATACCTTCGTTGCAGGATTCGCGACGATGGCGTAGGTGTATGAGAATTTCTGTACGCATCTCGACTGGTTACTAAGCTTCCGGTCAACGAACCTGCAGGGCTTATCGAGGACGTCTGGCCTACAGGAGTACTCGAAGAACCTCTGGGCATTTTGACCGTCTCGATAGAGCTCAACATACATCTCTTGCCGATTTCGGCCACCAAGGGGCTCGACCATTTCCTCTATCGTTGGACAACAGTCAACTGCGAGGCCATCTTCGCCTCCCTCCTGGCGTATAACCATCTGCATCTCTCGGTAGGTCATACGTTTGCTCGAGTCTTCCAATGGTACTGTCCTAAAAATTGTTTTACGTATAAGTAGTATGATATATATTCAATGATTTATTATATATAAGACAAATGATAAAAGAATCAATATTACTAACCAGTGAGAGATATGTCCTCTGAAGGGATGCTCTCTGGATTTACGAGAGGAAAAGGGTAAAGTTAGGTTGGCGGCAGCAAGCCGCGGGCACAGGACTGCGGTCAGCCAAACCACCTACGAATAGAAATATAATATGATAATTATTATGGTGAACATTGTCATCGTTTAATATTTATGTTATTTTCTTTATATATTTTTGTATCAATTGCAGCAACCATGATAATAGTCGATACCCTAGTAGCACAAAATATTGAAAAATATTGAATATATGTATATTTAATATTAAAAAATTTAAATATTAATTATTATTAATTTATTATAAGTCATACTAACTACCCTAGAGTAGCACAAAATATTGAATATATGAATATTGAAGACATTGAATCTCTTTTTAATATTAAATACACATGTATTCAATATTTTTCAATATTTTGTGTTACTAGAGTATATTTATATCGATTATTGTTTTTAACATGTCGAGTAAAAGTGAACAAGCGTGAGAAAGTATCTCTACAAGGAGATTAAACTTGAACGTATGTAATAAAGCACGAAGTTAGTCACGCATCGGCCAATACGGTACACGTATGAGCTTACGTAGGTGAAAACATTAATTCGGCTTATAATTTTTATGCAAAACAGGCCTTACGGCAAAGCCATGGCATTCTTCATCCACGAAGGTTTCTCTTTCTCTCTCTCTCTCTCTCTCTCTTTCTACTCTTCTTCTTCTTCTTCTCTCTTCACATTTTCCTTCTTTCTCTTGTATATACATTTTCGATTTAATTGCGCTACGTAATTCTGTAACCAGAAACTAACTGACGGTAGTGGTGGTTGTACGATGATTTTGTGCACCATCATCACGGTAGGGGATATTCTTTCTTTTTATTTTTTTTTTATTCATCATCATTGTGAAGAAGGTTCAATGCGTGTAAAGTAAAAAAAAAAAAAAAGAATGAATTACGCCTTGGGCGATAATTACTACGGATAATAGGTTGAACGATATTTTGTCTGCGCGTGCACGTATGTACTTACAAATACTCTTATTATTTTGAAACATACATGAAACATTATGAGAAAAGAAAGTATTACGATCTTGAAAGAGATATTTTAATATAACATCACCCTTATATTTTATTTTTTGTCAACGTTTGATAATATAAATTGAAAATTTTACAATCTCGACACTCAAGGATAACAATATAAATTAATCTAATGTGTAATATAAAATACGAATTAATGTAATATTTCTTATTATATATATATAATCTCAACGAATATTTATAGATAAAGAAAAAAAAAACAATTACATATATATATAATTTTATAATTATTAGGTACACGCTTAAATTACATAAATGTAAATAGATGATGATATAAATAACACCACCATTAACGAAGGAATGATTGACCAAACCAACAAGCTTCTTTTTCCATCTTAAGAACGAATGTAATAACTGTCTATCGAGTTACGAGAAAGGGGAAGTTAGAGCCGTCATTGGATGTAATTAGAAGAAAGAGAGAGTGAGTATTCGCTTTGAAACTTGAGTCGGTTGAAAGAAAAGAAAATGAGAGACGCGTTGACTTGGGATCATGGTGTCGCATCCTTCCAAGATTTATAGAAATGGTACAACAAGGAGATAACCGTTCCTGTAGGAGCTTAATTGAGCCATCGTTCTTTGGGGGAGGTGAACGGTTAACTAACTGGCGCCTCCCGTACGAAGAACTCACCAAAGAAGAACTGAAAGAGAAGGAGAAGGAGGAGAAGGAGGAGGTAAAAGAAGTCGCGTACAGATTAAACGGATATTCACGCAGGCGGCGGCAATGGCCACACATCGAGTTCTTGGATCCTTATCGGATTCTTGCATCATTTGAAACGAACGAATGAGAGTTCTCTCTTCGACTGCCTGCGATTTTAATCGATACTTATATGACCGTATCTTGCGAGCCTGTCCATGCCAAACGATTTCCAACGACGACATTTATCCTTAATTACTTCTCCACAACGAGAAAGAAAAAGTTAGAGAGAGAGAGAGAGAGAGAGTAAGAGTGAGAAAAACACGGGGGTAAAATGTCTTTTGAAATTTATTGAACGTTGAAATGAAAGGAAATGTTTTGAGATCTTTATATATATATATATATATAAAGCTTGAATCGTTTGATACGAATCGTTATATTGTCCGATCAATCTGTTCAAGTGTCGTCATTTTCGAGACTATTTAATTCGAGATTATGCTAATTAAGCTATCAACGACGTTTCATTCCAGTTCAATGTCGGTAATATAACGTTTGGTCGTCAGATGTATGTGTTCGTCGAAAAACGGGATCGATCTATTGGTTTCCTTTATTTTTTATTTTTTTTTTTGCGATACATCATCCCAAGATACGAGGAGGGCTTTGGTAACACGAGCGAGAGCATTCATTTCATCGTTCCGTGATACACGCACCACACACAACAGGACCGCCGATCGTTCGTCTGGCAATTTTAAAACTAATGACGGGTCCTCCAACAATTCTCCACGACCAATCCACCCCGATTATTATCAATCCTTTGCGAATAAAGATTTACAATCGAGCGATGTGTCGAGTTGTACGAAGGTAAACGTAACGTACGGCATCTGGATTGCAAACTCGTTTTGGCTTTTTAAGAGAGTAGTAGTAGTAGTAGAGTTCTAACGACGGCCACAAAATTCACGCACTGATTGTGAAAGAAAAATATTGTCGATTACGTATAGCTCGTAATTTCCTGATAGATGACAACGACGATAGAGTTTAGGAGAATTCTTCATTTTTTTGATGGTTAAACGTGTATCATATCAACGAGATTCGACATTTATAGACTAACACATTGTATTTTTATATACAATTGTTAATAATTATTGAATTTTTTTGAGTCTTTCATTTTGAAAAAAAAACAAACAAACTAAATACTTTATGACCTGTTCACTCATGAAAATAATTTGTAGTGTAATTAGTGAACCATAATGTTAACCAGGACCACCACCACCACCACCACCACTACCACACACAGTAGTAGTCTCGGAGTTCTGGCATCTAGGACCAGTCCTCAAGCTCGTATCTCACGAGTCCTGGAATGTGTTCGGTCTCATTGCGTTTCAGATACATACCTACATATAGGGTGAACCGATAACATTCAAAGAACCGGGACTCGTATCGAAAAGGCCGCTGTTGCTTATCGACCGGACGTATTTATGTTTCTCCATGCCATCCGATCTCTCTTACGTGCTTGCAAGCCGTGTGGGATCCGTCCACGAACCCTGTATTTTTTCCGTACATTGATCTCGATTTCGATTTATCCGATCGACCCATTATTATGCACGTTGGTTGCATTTTATTAACGTTAGATACGAATTTTATGAGTTTTATACGTTGAATCAATGATGATGATGATGATGATAACTTTCGTTTTATTTTTAGTTTTTTAGAAAACGTGTTAACTTTCTAAATTAATCTACCTAATTAATCGAGAAGATTGTTAATTATAATTTTATTTAAATATCTTATAGAAATTTTCAATTTAAGAAGTGTTGACAAGGAAACATAATTTATGAAAAGTAATGTCATTAATTTGACTAAAGTATACAATATATAACCCATATACTAGTTCTATAAAATTGAAATTGAAATTTGATCGAAATATTACGACAACATTTAGCGATAAACTTAACAATTCTACAACGCCAATTCAGGAATGGATGTTGTTAGGAGAACAACTACTACTAGGTGTGTGGAAAGCATTCTCTTTACTGTTATTGGTTAAGAATTTTTTCGCATGTTCACCAAACCGATAGGTACCAACCGATTGGACGCAAGTAATAATTTATTACTCTCCGCTAGTTACCGTTTTTGTGTTAAGAAAACTATGCCGTTGTATGTTACTAGTAGCAGGTAGACTAGGTAATACGTATAAATGTGTATATACATATATATAATACGTATCTCTCTTTATATTGGACACCGTAATAATGCAATCTCTGGCATGGCATAACTCGGAGCGACATTCCACCGACGAATTTTCGGTGTAATTATTATTAACAAGCAAGAGAGCCTCGTGGGTCCGTTGTAAATCAAACTTAACGACGCACTTAACCGACGTAAGAATCTAACGGAACATAAGTAGAGGAGATTCACCAATTCCGATCATGTTTTAAAGCTTTCCCTTACGAATCATGGCATTCGATTTTTCTTACCAACGAGAAAGTTATCCTTAACATTTAAAGAAAAATCGTTCTGATCGTTTTACACAATTTATTTTTAACGTTTCAACCAAATGAAAATCCAAACAAACAAACAAACAAAAAAATGTCGAAAGATGGACAGGTATTTATTGATCTTGAGACAATACTTCAATCAAAGTTTACAAGATAAACCTGTATTATAAGATGTACGTAACATGTGTGTAATATTTGTCCCCAAGTCACCGTTATCATCAATGCACAACATTTTCGGTATCATTAGCATAAACCATTGTATAAATTATAAGTAGGACCATCGAGGTGCTCGTCGACTTATTGCAAAGTGCCAAAGGTGATTTCAACACCCAGCTTTTTTTGCCATTGTAAGAACATTTCGTGAATAATGAGACACTCCAGTTGAGTTTCTTCATCGTTTTGCTATTATATTTAACTAATTCTTATTCGAAATATTTGTCAAGAGAGAATCTCTCTTTTTTTTTTTCTTAACCAAAAGTCAATAATATCCCCATATATATATATATATACGTGAACGTTTAAAAAACATGGTTTTAAAATGTTATTTCGTAGAGAGTTACTTTACATAGTTAATATTATAATATTGATAAATATATTGGGTTGGCAAGAAAGTAATTTCGGTTTTTTCTAGTGTGAAATAAAATTAAAATTGTTTCTATACAAAAAATGAGCTTTTAATTAAATACCTAAAAAATTCTAACATAAACAAAAAAAATAACAAAACAAACATAACTTTATCTATTAGTGCAAGCTGAAATTACTTTCTTGCTAACCCCAATAAGTTTCGTTAGAAAGAAGATGTATATACATATATATATATTAGATCGAGATCGTATCGCGTGCCTTTTTGGATTGGCACGCGTCGCACGCGTCGCACGCGTCGGAAGGGATAAAGGTCCTGCTGTCTTGGGAATGAGAAACGTTGGAACCTGTTGTAAGGATATTACTCCTTTCCATATCTCTTTCTCTCTCTGTCTTTCTTCTCATGTTTCGAATAGTTACACACGAGAGCCTTCGAGACAAGGATGAGGATTTTTCCTCGTGGAAAAGCAAACACACACCAGCGTATAGAACCTACCTACCTCCCCCCCCCTCCCCATGACAAACGGCAACTATCGAGTGCCTGTTAGAGATAGTAAGATGAAATGAAAGGTCCTCGAACGTTGTGCTGCTGGTGCTCAACAGCACAATGAACGCTACCGAGTGGCTCAGCAAGACGAGATGACCGGCCCCCGGTCCTTTTCTTTACCAGTGGTGTGTAGTAACTCTTTTCTTTCTCTTTCAAAACCCCTCCCCTCCCCTCCCGCCCCCCTCCAACCTTACCTCACCTTATCCCTTGAGAAACCCGCGGGCTGTTTAGACAGCGAACGCTTCGCCGTGTGTTATGATTGACGTGTATAAATATTTGGTTAGTCGCCTTGCCGTTTCATGCGTAAATCGTACACACTCACGCACGCACGCACGCACGCACGCATGTGGGGCTTATAGAAAACCGAACTAGCAGCATATTATATATAATATGTGTATGTGTATATATCTTTCTGTTGTTTCTCTGTGTTTGTATGTATCTTTCTTTCTTTCTTTCTTTCCGTTTCTTCATCCCTATCTTTATCTGAAAGCATTTGATTTCTTTTCTATAATCTTTTTCTAGTCTCATGATGTACCTAACCTACGTACACGTGACCACCACGAACAGGACTTCTTCTTTTCTTTTTGTATTTTTTTTTTTATTTTTGTTTTTATTTTTGTTTGTGTTGTTTCTTTTCTTTTTCTATTCCTTCAGGCGAGAAATTAATGACGTCCCGTGGACAGGCTCGTTACGCTCCGCGTGAGACTTTACGGGACAGGCCGAATGTCGTTACTAGAACGTAGTGGTACGACATAACACTAACCTAAGAGAAAAGGAGAAGAGATCAGACCGAAATCGGTTGAGGAGAGAATACGCATAGGAACGAGTTGTCGACCATAAATTCCTCGACGTGTTTTGTCGAGTCTACTGTACTTGCTAGATATTCTTGTACGAGAGAGAAAGAGAGAGAGAAAGAGAGAGAGAGAGAGAGAGAGAGAGAGAGAGAGACACTTTTAATGAGATGAGCTTGATTGAAATTAACATCATGTGGGAAGATTTTAAACAGATTTCTTTTCCAGTTCTCATTTTTTTCTTTCTTTTTCTTTTTTTTTTTTGACAAACACACGTGTTGCATCCTATTAAAATGGTTTTTTTTTCTTTAAAGTACTTTTTTTTATGTATAATTAATAATTGTTTTTTTGTTTCATTTATTTATTTTCATTTACGWGTGTACTCTGTAATAATACGTGCATTTAAATTAAAAATAAATAATTTTAATTTCAGTAACTATTATTTTTTTTTATTAGTTATTGTTATTTTTAGAACTCAATGTTTTTAATGGTGAACAAAATAAGTTTACTACGATTGGTCAATAATTTTTCATTGATTAAAGTTAACATAGCTTCAATAACCCTTTTAAGTAACGTTATATGTGTGTATGTGTTTTATTTCACGTGTTTTAATATGAGTCACCCTTTCAGATACGAAACGAGTAGTTTAGTTTCACAGACCATTTCGAAACTTATCAGATAAAATAATCGCCCGTATTAAAAAGAAAATACAAAAAAAACAAAAAGCAAATGTTTTGCAGATAAAAAAGAAAAGAAAAAAAAAAAAGAAATAAAGAAAAATGTTTCGAATGATCTACGAGAGCTCGTATTTTCGAAGGTACGATTTCATGGATCCTTTTTCTATCGCGAATCTCTCTCTCTCTTCTCTCAAAGCTAAAAATCCTTTCGTATGGATCAAAAAGCCCAAAGGGCAGAAACATCCACCCACGATATAGTAAATCATTCGAACGTTAGGAAGAAGGGTTCTCAAGTGTGCGAACAACATCGAGGATCCTCCTACCTTTTGTGTTTTGTATAACCAACTATGATTTGTAATATATTATTTTTGAATTGTTTTAAATTACAGGCTCCATGATGAACTACGATGAACAACCGTGATAATAGAGGAAAAAGGGCGTCCATTCGGCAATATCTCCTTTCATGCCTAAAAACCTTTTTAGAAGCATACTCATAAGAAGAAGAAGAAGAAGAAGAAGAAAACAAAAAAACAAGAAGAAAGATCGAACCTTATGCAAATGCAGCTTGAGTACAAACGATCCTGTTGAAATCTTTACACAAGTATGGCATAAACTTCAAACTCAACTTAACATAAGGTAAGTGAACTACCGACTAACGATGATAATACGCCAAAGGACAACGCGACTAACTTTAAATGGCAAACCGCAATGGAAATTACCTGTTAACATATCATTATCTGCCAAATACCTTTTACGTTTATCGTAGAATTACTTAAGTTATTTTTATTTTTTTTTTATTATTTTTTTATTAATACTTTTTGAAGTTATCAAAGAATTATTTCAACTTTAATACAACAACTTTAATAATTTATATGTTCTAATTTAAATCTAATTTGTCATTTGATCATTTGTTATTTTTATTATTTATATTATTATTTAAATATTTATTTTTATTATTATTATAATATATTATATAATATATAATATATTAATGTATAAATATATAATAATAAATATATAATATAATAATATAATTATATTATATTATTTACATATTATAGGTTTAATTTTATTTTTTATTTTAAATTTGTCACATTATCTGTAATAAATTTTGTTCATTATTATTTGTTATATTCTTTTTTTTTTTTTTTTTTATCATTTCAGGTTCGAATAAGAAGAAACGTCAAACACGACAAAACGATTCAAGATTTCGTTTATACAGCTATCATCAAGAATCGCGGAGATTTCGCGTGGGTAGTTACA